ACGATGCTTATTTTAGCCAACGTATTTGTCTACAATATACCACCCGAATGGACCGACAATGATTTAGTGAGAGAGTTCGGTTCATGTGGACCACTTAGCACAACGAGGTGAGAAAATCAGCATCGCTCCGCTGTGGATTTTTCATTTTGCGAACAGGGTCATTATTGACTCTCAAACGAATCAGTCTAAAGGCTATGGTTTCGTTTCCTTCCGAGAAGTACGGAGCGCTATGAAAGCCGTCGAGACAATGGACGGTTTTCTGACCAGCACCGGACGGAGATTGAAAGTCCAAGTAATCTTGCTATCTTGCTATCACTTGCATTTCCTCAACGCTTCATCAGATAAAGAAGGGAGAGGAGGAAGCTGCAGCGCAAGCGTTGGGAATACCTGTTAGTCAGGTGAAAGCAAATGGTAGGAATATGCCCGTCTGTGTGGGGGTAATTTTGGTAACTCTCTTAGCCGATCGTGGTGGTTCGGGTAACCGAGCTACACCTTATTAAGAAGGAAATGTTGGTGTACAGTAGACAATGAGAAAGTCGATGACTCAACTACTGATCTTGTCTCGAATGAAACAGTTTTGAGTTTTTATACACGCTCGAACTGAGAGACGGACATCTGTTTTGTGGTTATTCGAATATTGTTCTGCCACGATGTACTTGCTGATATACCTCATGGGAATTGGAGATGTGATGATAGAACTGTTATTGGCACTGATATACTGACGGTATGAGGGCGGGCCGCTGACAGTAGTGCAAAGCTCAAGAGAGAATACGCGCCAGTGAGAATTATAGCTTCCGATAGCACAGTATTCGGGTGAAATTTGATTATGTTCGGCACCACTTTTTACGCATCAACCTGAGCGTAGCGGGAATCGATAGAGGCGACACCAGACTAAATAAAACTAACGCAACACCAATTGGGTAACAGTTTGAACACCACGCTTAGATCATGCTTTACTCATGGGATCTCGTTTTGGCGTGAAGTACGTGGCAGTGAACTCCCGTCCCTGAATGTAACTCTCACCACACTCCAAAATGGTTTATTCTATACCGGTTTCAAGCCTTTACGGTAAGCTGGATGGTAGCCGAATTCTCGCTTCAGGAGTTCTATACCCTCACGATGCTTATCCCTGGCTCCGTGATACTTGCTCTCCAAAAAAGTCTCAATATCTGACCGCCATAACTTAGCAGACACTCGGAAGGTGAATTCAATGGAGTTGAAAAACACTAGTGAAAAATATATTTCACGACTACTTCGTATCGCGTTTTTCACAGAGTATTACGCCACTTCACGTAAAACGGGTGAAACTCCAATGTACCCCGTAAAAACATATAGCTACAAATAGGGGCTATCGTTGTGAATTTTTATAGCGCGGCGATAAAGATCGTATTTGTATATAGGAGTTTCACCTGTGATATGAAAAACACTAGTGAAAAACATATTTCACGGCTACTGCATAGTGTGAATATCGCGTTTTTCATGGGGTTTTACACCAGCTCGGGTTAAACGGGTGAACTCTATTAAATTCGGCACCTTTGGGTGAGGGCGAGATGATAAAGGTGTTTCAAACCTCGTGAGCACTTGTGAGTACGCAGAACTCAGTG